AGGAGGAGGAGGAGGAGGAGGAGGAGGAGGAGGAGAACAGGCGATGGGACCAATCAGGCGGGGCATCATACCACGGAAAAGTATAAAGGATGAGTTCAAGGTTAGGTATGTCGAGGCACTGGCCTTTTCGCGTCTATTTCAGCAGGTTGAGATATGGCATGAGCTGGGGGAAGGAAATGAGTCAAGATTGAGAGCTGCGTATATGAGGGGATTGAGGATGGCAACGGGACTAACACATAATGCAGGTACTGTGGATCACTATCTCGATGAATATGTACTTTGGAAAGCAAAGCGGGCGGATTACAATACGATTAAGCGTATGAGGAGGCTGCGATATCTTGAAAGGGTGGTGAATCATGCACCGGCGACCCTACGAAGGTTGGTGGATATTCTTGGGACTGAAGGTACGTGGCTGAGTATGCTGGAAAATGACTTTGAATGGCTACAAAAATGGAGGAATGCAGGTGACACGCCAATGGAGATGCGACAGTGGATCGAGCTCATGCGGCAGGCCCCCAAGAAATATTTGGCAATATGTACAATGGCATGGAAACGGTTTATGCAATGGCATGTCGATCATTGTCAGCATGGGGTATGGCAGCAAAAAATTAGAGGTATCGTCCCACGGGAGAATGAGATGGGTCAGAGATTATTTTTTATTTGTTATGAGTGTGGAGCCACGTTTGAAACTGGGTGTGCGTGGCAGTGTCATCGCACCAAAGTGCATGGCAACAATGATGACATACCTCGGTATGCGTACGATGGGTATTGTGCTGCCTGTGATGTGAATTTTCACACAAGGAAAAGGTTGATATATCACTTGAAATATCGTCATACCAAATGCATTGACATATTGAGGGGCATAGTGGAACCGATGGCTGATGAAGAGCTGGCAGAAATGGATGAGAAAGATATAAAAGAAACGGCGATGCTCAAAAGTATGGGATATTCTGAATCAAAAGCATTGAGACCACCTACCAAGGGACCGAGGTATTGCAGGAATTCAAGTTCGAAGGAGGAAATGATAGTGGCAATACCGCAAATTTTGATCGATGAGGCCCCATCCACTTGCAATGAGGAAAGTCCGACATACCAGTGTGTGGACAGGGAGTCGCAGTTACTCTTGATATATGACTCCGAAAGTGAATATACTGCATGGTTGGATAGTTTTAATGAGGACGTACCATTCCAGATCAAGATGATAGATATAAGGACAATAGAAATGGACGCGATTGCTACTGATGGTATGGGTCACACAGTGGTGAAGGATATATGCAGGCGGAAGATATTTGGTGTTGTTGGAAAGACATATGGGTATTTTGGTATGCGACTGTGGGGTGGTACTGAAATCCGTGGGAAATCGTTGGCTAAGCAGATAAGGGCAAATACCGTATTTCGAGCCCTAATGATAATATATCATGCATGTGGGAAGGCCCGAGTCCCAATGTGCGTAACCACGGACATGGCCAGGATACCCACTGGTATAGATGACGAGTACGTGGAGAAGGACATCATGGTCGGAGTTGGAGGCCAAAACTTTGAATTCGAATATTGGCATGACGTATGGTGGATGATGAATGGGGAATACGTATGAGGACTACTTCCTGGTGAGGGTGCGCGGGTCGTGGCCCAGGGGGGGTGGATTCAGCCCACAAAGTAACAACCCCCTGGGCTAGACGGCTGAGTCGGGGCGCCCGACGCTGAACGGCAAGGGCGACGCCTGGGCGCTGCTGGCGCAGGCCGCGGCGGCCATCTGGGACCTCTGAGGAGGCCGGTGTGGTGAGCCCCCCAGGGTGGGTCCCCACCTGGGGGGCTCGACGCCGTCGTGATGGGGTCGAAGGAGCCCTTCGTTCTTTTTGGAGGAGTGAGAGGAGGAGTAGGATGAGGATCAGGTGGCCATTTCGACCCCGTCGCGAATGTATGTTAGGCCCGCAGCGCGGGCCGTGGAGGAGGAGGAGGAGGAGGAGGAGGAGGAGGGAAGGAGGAGGAGGAGGAGGAGGAGGAAGAGGAGGAGGAGGAGGAGGAGAGGAGGAAGGGAGGAGGACGGGGAGGAGGAGGAGGAGGGAGGAGGAGGAGGGAGGAGAGGAGGAGGAGGCGGAGGAGGAGGAGGATTCTTAAGATGCAGGAGGAGGAGGAGCGAGGAGGAAGAGGAGGAGGAGGAGGATTTTTTTTGGGAGGAGGAGGAGGAGGAAGTGGAGAAGGAGGAGGAGGAGGAGGAGTGAGGAGGAGGAGGAGGGAGGAGGGAGGCGAGGGAGGAGGGAGGGAGGGAGGGAAGGAGGGAGGAGGGGGGAGGAGGAGGAGGAGGAGGAAGGAGGTAGGAGGGAGGAGGAGGAGGAGGAGGAGGAGGAGGAGGAGGAGGAGGACGAGGAGGAGGAGGAGGGAGGAGGAGGAGGAGGAGGAGGACCTCGCCGCGGCCGGGCCGAGCTCGGCTCAGCTGCACCGCGGCCGCCGCCTCGTCCGCCGCGCGCGCGCCGCCCGAGTCCCGGCGCGCGGGGGTGCTCGCCGGGGTCGGCCTGCCGGACTCCCGCCAGCGCGAGGCGCCGCCGCTGCTCTGCCTCAATGGGGGCCCCGCGGCTCCCGCCCGAGCCCGCTCGGCGAGCGCCCGAGCCCGCGGCGGCCGCCCGAGCGGGCAGCCGAGCGGGCTCGGCTCCCACGGGGCCAAGGGTTAGGTCGGGCATGTCCTCCTACAGGCGGGCTTTGGATAAAAATCAACATAGCCCAAACATAATCAAAAACAGTCGAAAATTGTCAAAACAAAAAACGTTCCCGGATTCTGTCTTTCCTATTGTTTGAAATTCCTCCTGTACAGACACGCCCGACTTAATCCAGGGGGCCTGAGCCCGCTGTAGGGCCGCCGCAGGGGCTCTCGGCCGAAGGAGTCCGCTCCGCTGCCGACTGGGCTCAGACGCCGAACAGGCTCAAAGGGGAACCCTGGGTGCACGGTTTCCCCCGGGGCCGTGGGCGACCCGAGGAGGAGGAGGAGGAGGAGGCGGAGGAGGAGGAGGAGGAGGAACAGGAGAAGGAAGAGGAGGAGGAGGAGGAGGAGGAGGAGGAGGAGAGGTGGGGGAGGAGATGGAGGAGGAGGAGGAGGAGGAGGAGGGGAGGAGGAGGATGGAGGAAGAGGAGGAGGAGGACAGAGAGAGGAGGCGGAGGAGAAGCGAGCAGGAGCAAAGAGCAAGAGCAGGAGCAGGACCAGGAGGAGGAGAAGGAGGAGGAGGAGAAGAGGAGGGGGGGGAGGGGGAGGGGAGGGGGAGGGCGAACAGGAGGAGGAGGAGGAGGAAAAGGCAGGAGGAGGGAGGAGGAGGAGGAGGAGGCGGAGGAGGAGGAGGAGGAGGAAGAGGGAAAGGAGGAGAAGGAGGAGAGGAGGAGGAGGAGGACGAGGAGAGACGCGGGAATCGGGAGGAGAGAGGAGGAGGAAGAGATGAAGAAGGAGCGAAGGAGGCGGGAGGGTGGAGGAGAAGGAGGAGGAGGAGGCAGGAGGAGGAGAGAGCAGCAGCCAGGAGGAGGGAGGAGAGATGAGAGGAGAAGCATGAGGAGGAGGAGGAAGGAGGATGGAGGGAGGCAGAAGAAGGGGAGGAGGAGGAGCGAGGAGGGAGGAGGAGGAGGAAGGAGGAGGGGAGGTGAGGAGCGGAGGGGAGGAGAGGCGGCGGAGGCGGGAGGAGAAGGAGGAGGAGGAGGAAGGAGGAGGAGGAGAGAGTTGGAGGAGGAGCGACGCAGACGACGACCGACGACGACGAGGAGGGACGACGACGAGGGGTGGAGGAGGAGGAGGACGACGAGAGGTGGAGGAGGAGGAGGAGGGGAAGAGGAGGAGAGGGAGGAGGGAGGGGAGGAGGAGAGGAGGAGGAGGAGGAGGAGGAGGAGGAGGCGGAGGAGACCAGGATTAGGCGTCGGGCCCAACCTCTCTCAATTTCACCTAAATGCTGAGGCCACCTCCTGCACTCCCCCGCGCACGAGACGACCCAGTAGAGAACCGTAGCGAACGGGCACAAGGAGACCACGACAGCGAAGTCTATGGAGCATGAAACGATACCATAGCGAATCCCTCCAAACTTGCTCAGCACCCGCGACAAACGGTACTAGACACGCCTGGCTGAAATCCGGCCCTACCGTAGATAATCGGGCAAACTCCGGGAGCCCGCCTCATCCACAAACAACCTCACAATGCAGCGCCGCAGCCACAAATGTCAAACAAGCACTTGATTCCTTCCCGCCGAGGGCTGCACCCACCCATCTGCTGAGAAAGCATGCGACTTGCGCGCAGCATGCTGAACACACGCCAGACCACCCGACAGCGCGCCCTGCCCCCCGTGAACGCAAAAAGACAGCCCCGACAATATATAAACCAAAAGTGTCAGACCAGCTGTAAAGAAACGCGGCGCTCTGCGGTAGCCCACAAACTGCAGAACCAGTGCACGCCCAAGAATACAGCTTGCCTTGCACGCTTTGCAAACACCCAGAGCTGTAAAAATGCAGCGCCCCCCAACAAGGCCATACCTCCCCGAGCGGCCGTGGGAGAGAACGACATGATAACTGATGAAGACTGCACTGGAAGCCCGTCTACCACCAAGAATACCTCCCCGAGCGGCCGCGGGAGAAAATGGCATGGTAGCTGAAGACACCTGCACGCGATTGAAATCGGCAAGCCAACAGTGAACCCCAAGTGAGAAACCCCGAAATGAAACACTAATTGACCTCTACACAATACGTATATGGCCTGATGGGCCCATCACCGAAAAAACACTGAAGCTGTCCCAGCATAACAATGATTGGCAGCCGACGACAGAACCCTGCAGACCCCGTGAAATTGGACTAGCCACAAGGCGCACCCACTACTGAAGCCCGTTGGAAGGCCGAGCCACCGCTGTCGAAAACAACCACATCACTGCCGCGTTGAGTGACGCATGGCGGCATATCTTGAATGGGCAGCATTTTGTTCCACTTCATCCTGCTGCACAGGACGCCCCAGCCGTTCTGACAAGAGCTGCTGATACCGCCGCTCACGAGCACGATCGCAGCAGTCCGCGTAGATCGACGTAGCCGCCCACGACCTTGAGCGAGAAAGGTTGCCCCACTCGTGGTGCTGGGTCCCGTGGAATAGACATCGGCGAAAGGCTGGCTAGCACTCCCACGGCACACCCGCGGCACAGGCTTCCGCCCCACTGGCCTGTGAATAAGACACGCCACCGCCACACTGTTGCTCGAAGGCACATAGCCACAAGATTGACCTCGCCATTGCTTTCTTCGTACTGTGACGGGTCGAAAGGCCCCTTCGTGTCGATGCGAGCCACAAGATCGCGACCACCACCCAACGGACGTAGGAGTTCATCTGGTCCATGATGGCATTGAACCGGTGTGTAGCCAGGAATAGACTTCAAGGACACAACGGCAGAAGGCGCATTAGTAGCTCGAAGACAGTCCGAACGTCTAGAGATCGACACCACCGTGGCCTTCGGAAGCTGTCCCACTGTTGCTTCAAATGCGAGGCTGTCGTACACAATCCTCCTCTCCGTAGCATCTACTCGCCATCGCAAATACTTGCACCGAAGATTGTCTAGCACACCTCGAACGTCACACGGGGGACATATGCATGCGATGATCACGATGGACGGCACCGCAGTAAGCGCAGCATCCTGAAACAGCTGGAATACATCCCGGTTGCAGATATGCACACCCACTTGCCGAAGGATCGGACCACAATGCCTCTCCAAATGATCCGTTTGAAGATCAGACGCCTCCCACGTGGACAACCGCAGCTCTTCCTCTGAATCTGCCATGTATACACGACCAAACGAAATATCACTTTGCCTCGCCTCGCCACCCGCTCCAGGAAATCTGCACGCTCCTTCGGAATACGGTCCTTCCCTTCACGGGGCCCCCCAAGCGCTGCGCGAAAGCGCGAGGCCCGACGCCAAGCCTAGTTGGAGCCAAAAGATGGATCTACAGGGCTTGGGCCGCATGTGCTTGAGAGGGGGAGGAGGAGGAGGAGGAGGAGGAGGAGGAGGAGGAGGAGGAGGAGGAGGAGGAGGAGGAGGAGGAGGAGGAGCGGGAGGGGGAATAGGAGGAGGACGGGTCGCCTAAGCCCTTCGGAGAAACCTTCCAACCCTGGGGTGGCGACGCACCGCGCGACGACCTCGGACTCCCCCAGCGGTCTCGCCGCGCGGGGGGCCGTCGCCGCACGGTGCCAGGGCCTCGGAGGCCCCATTCGCTCGAGGCATCCTCGGAGCACTGCCCGCGTCCCAAAAAACCGCGAGTGTAGAAGAAGGAAGAACGGCAGAAACAGAAACTTGTGGCGCTCCGCGCGGACCTCCGAACGTTTATGCTTATAGCGTGTTTTCTACTTCGAGCATCCTCGGAGAACGACCCGCGTCCCAAAACCGCGAGGTGGTCCCGAAGCCCCGCGGACTCACCGCGGGGTGTGGTCACCGCAACGCCCGCTTGGAGCCCCCCCATGCCGCGGGAGGCTGGCCGGCGAAGGCGCGGCGCTCGTGCGGGGCGCGGACTGCGGCACGGGGTAGAAGAAGTCGTTCCTCTCGGAAGGGGGGCCAGTCGAGGCAACCCAGGGGGGGGGCTGCGAACGCAGGAGGAGGAGGCGGAGGCAACCCAGGGGGGGGTCTGCGAACGCGAAAGGCCCCGAGAGGGGCCGCTCGCAGAGCAGCAGAATGGCCAGTGCTGCTTCCAGCAGCTTCGACAACCCCGACCGCCAAGAGCAGACTCGGCGAAAGTATTGGCTGGCAGCCGCTGGTGAGGATCATGGGAATCCGCGCGGCGCACACTGAGCCTGCAGTTTGTCGGCCCGCGGAGCGTGGCCGAGCGCGCTGGATATGACCCCCTGGACCACCAAAAATGGGCCGGGGCTGCACCACGGGGCAGAAGAACTCGCTCCTCTCTGGGGAAGGAAAGGTACCGATGCCGCCACCCGTGCCTCGTTCTCCCCTTTTATGGTCCTCCTGGGTAGAAGAATTCTGAATTCTCGCTCCCCTTGGCGAAGACGGGGGGGCACCGACATCAACTTCGGGAGCTCCGACAGTGCACGCTTCCGCCGCCCTGGCCTCGCCTTCGGCTCTGAGGGTCTCCTGGGAGGCCCTCGCCGCCACCGCGGCAGCCGCCTCGCCCTTCCCAGATCGCCACACTTCGCACACCGCGCCCCCGCGGTGCGCGACGCGCGAGCATCTTCGCTCCCGCGCGCCCTCACGCCGCGCCCCGGGAGAAGGGCGACCGATCTGGCCCAGGCCGCGCCGCGCGAAGCGCGATTCGCTTCACGCACCCGCGGGTGACCTGCAGGATGCCGGTACCGCTACCCTCCTCTGGTTGCTCCCCGGTTTGGGCCTCCCGGGAGCCCCTCGTCACCACCGCTGGACTCGCCTCGAAGTTCTGGTCGGAGCGCACCCTGGGAGAGGTCTGGGGAACAGCTGAGCACCGTTTGCCCGACCCCTCTCCCCAACGGCGTGGCCTGGGCCCCACTGGCCGACTTACCCCCCTTAGAGGGGGGGATCTAGGCAGGTCCCTCCGGGTCTGGAGGGGTACGTCCCCAACTGGGGTGGTAAAATGGTAGGGGTCCGGATGGAGGTGGGTACCCAGACGTCCGGCTGCTCCAATTTTTTCGATGCGTGGGCCCTGGAGGTCTGGAACACTTCCCCAGGCCCGTTTTGTTCGTCCTGAGTGGCTTTTTCACGGTCCTGAGGCCCGTCGGGGGCCCCCGGAGGCCGAATGCGGCCAAAAGCCCGCCGCCCCTGGGCCATGGGGACAGCGAGGGGTTGACGAAACGATGCCGAGCAGCAGGACATCGGCATCGCTCCTCTCGGAGGAGGGCCTATCGGGGCAGCGGCGCCCGATCGCTGCCTCTCTCTCTTGTCCGTCCCCTCCCCGCCCTCCTGGAGGCGCCCCGCCGCGCCACGGCGGGGCACGGGCCGGGCTGGATCCCAGGAGTTGGCGGCGAGCGAGGGGGCGGGGAAGTGGGACTTCTCAGAAGCC